ACTACACACATTTCGTTTAACAGCCCTTGCGACATTGATTTTCTAATATTTTGCTTCTTTTCCAACGCAACGACCTCGAACATTCGATCCCCTAATTAAGAAAGTCAAAAAGGTTAATCACGTGACAAATAACAGTTGAAGATGCATAGATTATATAATATCGAGTTAGTGAAATGACAAGTCATTGTATTCATTCGTTAGAAAATAAACTTAATGAGCACATCTCTCAACTTTTGAAAATGACATGTCCATCTTGCAACTGAAATGAGTTCAACTTATTGGTTCTCAGGGCATGGATGGGTTATGGTTGTTTGTACTTGTGTTTATAGATATAACGGCACACGTGTCTTTTAACGACCCTTTTGTAGTTATGTTGATTTCTCCAATATTTTGCTTCTTTTCCAACGCAACGACTTTATACATTAGATCCCCTACTTTAAGCAAGTCAAAAAGGTTGATCACGTAACAAAGAGCGGTTGAAGATACATAGATTATATAATATCGATTTAGTGAAATCACAAATAATTGTATTGGTTCATTAGAAAATATAATTAATGAGCACAATTCTCAACTTTTGTAAACGACAAGTCCATCTAGCAACTGAAATGAGTTCAATTTATTCGTGTTTCTCAGGGCATGGATGGGTTGTGGTTGCTTATATTCGTGTTTATAGACATAACGGTACAAGTGTCATTAACAGCCCTTGTGCCGTTTCGTTGAGTTCTCCAATATTTTGCTTTTTTCCAACACAACGACCTCATACATTAGATCTCCCAAGTTAAGAAAGTCAGAAAACGTTGATTACGTGGTGTTGCTATTTTTATATCGCAAGTGTACGATATCGTAATGAGCAGTACAGTGGGCCTTTGAGTCCGAATATCGTTCCCACGAGGACTATACTTCAGGACTTAATCAAATTTTGTTAACTCCTATTTGATAAAAACATGTAAATAATTATGATGACTGCGATTATTTTTCCCAACTACTTTTTACTAATTGAAAATATAAAAATATTGCAAACAACGATTAATTAAAGATTCAAATATGTAATGAATATTAGGTCATAACAATTTCATCTATTGATTACCTTAATTTTTAATTCAAGATTCAAAACTTATTGTAGCATTCGATCGAATTATTCTATTGTATTCAATTTACCTCTCTCGAGTTCTCATTGAGTATATTTAACTAATTGAATTCAATATCTCTATATTAATCAATTTTAGTTAAACGAAATAGTAGTTTTAAGAATTTATATTATGGCCGCAATAATTAGTATATGTATTTTTACACATTATACTAATTTATCGAATTTTACTATATGGTCTAAATCTCAAACTCATATCTCGATTCGTAAGAGACTCATATAATCATTAATTAAGTGATCAATTAATTCAATGTGTTAAATTCATAATAAAACCAACACGTATATAAATAAATCATAGAAATCTTGAATAAAAGAATAAATGATCATAAGTTGATTACATTATTTGCCATAATATAAAAATTAGTTATTCATACTGTAAAAATAAAAATACGCAAAATTGGAACGACATCATCGAAAATTGACGAAACATAAAACTGCACGTGTCTGCTGTCTCATTTTTTCCTTGTCTCTCTGTATGTATATGTATATTTCTGTCTGTAGCTTCTGTGTGCTTCTCCTCCAGCGCGCGTGTGTGTATATAGCCCCCGTTTGATCTATATTATTATTTCATTAAAATGAAAAATATAACCGTTATTCATCACATCAACATTTAAAATTCAAATTTTTATCTTTTATGTGGGCCTCAATAACAACTATATTTTTCATTCTCATTGTATAATAATTTGGCTCAAACAGTACCATAATAATAATAATTTAATGAGCCACCAAGTTTGACTCCCCAAAATTCTTCCACTCTCCACGTTTTTGTGTCTTTTTTTGTCTCTCTCTCCCTTTCTTTCCCATTCTTTTTTACTTTTCAGCCTCTCTTTTCTCTCTCTTTTCTTTTTCCTTTCTTTTTCTCTATGCCCTTTTTTCTTCTCCTGTTTCTGTCTTGTCGAGGTCCAATTAAAATTTTCAATACAAGTCAATTAAGGCTCATTTAACTCCAACTCATTTAGGCCCCGTTCGGTAAGGATTAAAATCCAATTAAAATTGAAAATATAGTCGTTATTGGGTCCCACTCGTCTAATAAAAGTCAACAATAACGACTATTTTTTCAATTTTAATCTGATTTTAATCCCTACCGAACGGGCACAATTAAGGTTAGGCCCCGTTCGGGAGGGCTTAAAATCCAATTAAAATTGAAAATATGGCCGTTATTGGGTCCCACCCGTCTAATAAAAGTCAACAATAACGGCTATATTTTCAATTTTAATCTGATTTTAATCCTTACCGAACGGGCCCTTAATGTATTATTTCTCTCCAAGATTTTATCTTTTATTTTTGTCATTTTTCGTCACTTTTTCATTTTTTTCTCTAATTCTTCATTAAACATTAAGTTTCACCTACAAAATACAACATAACATAAATTAGATGAAATTTTATCTAAAATACAATAAAATATAATGATTTATGACCTCGAATAAGTGTAGAAACTACACTTATCACGTGACAAAGAACAGTTGAAGATATATAGATTATATGATATCGATTTGGTGAATTACAAGTCATTGTATTGATTTGTTAGAAAATATAATTAATGAAAACATCTATTAACTTTTGTAAACGGTACGTCCATCTTGCAACTGAAATGAGTTCAACTTATTAGTTATTTGGGCATGGATGGGTCATGATTGCTTAGACTCGCGTTTATAGGTATAAAGGCACAAGTGTCGTTTAACGGCACTTGTGTCATTCTGTTGATTTATCTAATTTTTTATTTCTTTTATAATGTAACGACCCCATACATTAGATCCCCTAATGTAAGAAAGTCAGACGTGACAAAAAACGGTTGAAGATAGATAGATTATATGATATTGATTTGGTGAAATTACAAGTCATTGTATTGATCTGTTAGAAAATATAATTAATGAGCACATCTCTCAACTTTTATAGACGACATGTCCATCTTGCAACTGAAATGAGTTCAACTTATTGGTTCTCGGGGGCATGGATGGGTTGTGCATGCTTATAGTCCTGTCTATAGACAGAACGATATAAGTGTCATTTTCTTCAAAGTAACGGTACAAGTGCAGTTCTCATGGGCAAATTATATTTCGATAGTGACACTGTGTCATTCTTTTAGAACTTTTCATCTTGGTAACGATACAAGTGTCATTCTCAAACACCTTTTCATCCTCTAAACGGTACTTGTGTCGTTGTCTTAGAACTTTTAATCTTAGCAACAACAGATGTGTCATTCTAATGGACAAGTATATCTACAAGCATAATGACAGTTATACCGTTATAATAGACGTTCTCATCTCAGTAACAACACAAGTACCATCTCATGAACACATTTACAGACATAACGATAAGTATACCGTTTTAATTGATGTTATCATCTCAGAAACAACACAAAGGGTCATTTTTATTTCAGTTGCTGCCTATAATTGTGTTTATAAATAGAACAACACAAGGTCATTTTTTTCTTAGTGACAATATTTGTGTCGTTTTGTTATTTTCTCCTACATTTTGATTTGTTTCCAACACGACGACTTCAAGCAATAGATATGTGATAAAAAAACGATTGAAATGATATAAATTACAATGGACTCTTATAAGTCAATAACGACATTAGTACTGTTCTCACGAATGTTTTCATCTCAATAACAAAACTCGTGTTGTTCTCATGGATGCTTATAAGTTCAGTAACGTCACTTATGTCGTTCTTATGGAAGTTTATAAGTCTTGTAACGACACTTGTATCGTAATCATGAACGTTTGTAAATATTTAACTTACATAATTTAACTTAGAGAATATTTGCATTTTTATTTTTTCTAACAAAGATAAGAAAAAATTCATTTTCATTACAATTCCGAATCTATTTCTTCCCAAGCCTTGTGCTTACACACAACACTAATGATTATCTATAATTTGAGCAACAACGAATTATAATAAAGGCACAAATTATGAAGACTTCCCAAAAGTTCAATTATGTGCCTTATGATAAGAACCCAACTCCACGACTTCCCAATGGGTGAATATTTTACTATTAATTAAATAATAATTTTATCATTCGATCAACTAAAATATCTTGAATTTTTTTCCTTTTTGTTAAAATTGGGCAAAGTCATTTCTCCAAATACTTTATTCTCGGCTATTTGGTAAAATTTCCCTTTTTTTGTCCATACATGGAACGGTAAAAAATTCATGAATCAACAGTAACTTTGGATCTCTCTATCGAGAGAGAGAGAGAGAGAGAGATTTTTGCCTTTTTCAATAATTAAGCCCTATTTGATCGCTGTTTTAAAATTCATTCTTTCAAAATTCATTTTTAATTAAACATTTTTCAATAAAATAATATTTTTTTATCAAATTCAAAATTTTTCCTTATTTTTCAACTACATATTTTTCCATCACATCACTTTTTAAAATACATCATTCTTTCGATAATATAAGGTCCGTTTGTTATGGATTAAAAATTTTTAATCTAAATTAAAGTCAAACAATCAATATTAATCATATCTTTCATGAATCTAACAACTTTTCAACAATACATTTCAAAAACTTTTATCATAATCTATTAAAAATTTAATTTTAATCTCAATCAAACCAAACACCAAAGTAATGTACAAATCTCATCCCTTTTCCAGCTTTCTTCCTCTCCTCCCCCATTTACCACATGGTAACCCATTGATTTACGCGAACACAATACTGTCTCTCTCTAGAATTTTGAACTGCTCAACTCCTCCCTCTGATCATCCCCTCTAATGGGTTCTCTTCATATTCAGCAACCAGAAAATACAGGGAGTGAAATAAATATGCTGCGCGACATAAAGAAGCTATAGATTAATGGATGTACACGTTTATACGTGGACAATAATACCATCTGAGCCCTTTGTGAATTAAATGCAATCCCGGCTTTGCGAAACAGTGAGTCCACTCTTAGTCTTCATATAAATTTAAGTTCAATTTATATATTTCTGGGCAATTCTGACTTGTTTACAGTTCAATTTGTGTGTAGGTTCTTGTTTTGATTTATTGATTTAGAGTTCTTTTTTGGCCGGTTAGAATTCTCTGTTCGTAGTTCTTGCAGTGAATTTTCATTAGCTGCTATTTATTTATTTATTTATTTGCGAAATTTTGGTGTTTATCGTGGTTGCTAGCAAATATGGCATCACATCACGGGAGTACTCAATCGGAACCGGCAGAAATTGAACAGATAATTACTGAAACTTCTGCTAAAATTCTTCATATAATACATGAATCGCGGGGCTCGTATGTTTCATCTCGTAATTATAGCAGTGAGCAATTTTTGTCATCCCCATCCCCCCCCTCATCATCATGTTCCTCATCGAGTTTTGGGCTGAGGGATAAGTCGTTTAAACTAGCACTTAGGGACTGCCCTGCGGCACTGGAGAACATAGGTTTTTGGCATCAGAGTAATTTCGAACCCATGATTGTTGACGTGATTCTAGTGCGAAGGTCAGGCAATTGGGACCCTGTGAATTATTTCCCGAAAAAAGGGTTTGCAACAGATTTGTCTGGCAAAGAGCGGTACCATTACAGTTCTGAAAATGATGAGATTGACAGTGAAAAGATTATTGAGAGGTGGGTTCTACAGTATGAGAGTAAGCAAAGTGGTGACAATTGTGGTGGTGTGATGGGGAATAAGAGAGCAACTTGTGCTATTTCAGATGCACTATATAAGAAGTCAATAATGTTGTTAAGGTCTTTGTACGCGACTGTGAGACTTTTGCCGGCTTATAAGGTTTTTCGTGATCTCATTTCGTCAGCCCAAATTAGGGGATACAATCTTTGTCACCGGGTGTCATCATTTGTTGAGCCGTTCACGAGTAGAGAAGAGGCAGATATGCAAAGCTTTGTTTTCTCTCCACTTAACACTGCTTGTGGTAGTCTTTGCCTCTCAGTGATGTATTGCTCATCAGAGTTGGATATAATTTCTGAGCCCTCCACCCCAATTTCTCCACAAGTCATTCACGAATATGTTGGGAGCCCAATGGCAGAACCACTTAAGAGGTTTACACCTGGTCCTGTGCCTCAATGCTCCACGTCGACGTCTCCTTTTGGGAGACGTCATAGCTGGAGAAGGTGCTTTGTATTGCCTTAAAATAAATTGTGTCTTTTCAAATTTAATTTTATGACTGTCAGTATGTTTACAAACGGACATTCCATTGTTGCTGTCAGACCAGGGTCATTTGATCAGCCTGGTGGACTTTATCCAGTTGGAAAATCTCAAGATGCTGCTGCTCCTTTTCACATGCTCAATAAGGTACCCCCTCTTCGCCCAGACATCTCTATCACGACTAATTTGGTGCAGGATTCCAAGTCCGTGATCGAAGAATTTTCTCTAGAGTCACTGTTGGAGGACTTTGGTTCTTTGAATCTCTCATCCTCTGGACTCGCTTCTACCAAAACTACAGCTGATGCATTTACAGAGCTCGTGGAGTACAAGAAAATGAAAGAAGTACTGCTGAAGCAGGGTAAAGGAACTCAGGCATAGTCCACTGCTGTTCATCATTATTATTTTTCGGTCGAAATGGATTTATCAGCAAAGCAAACGTCGACTTTTGAGTTCCTATTTAGCGTATGTTGAAGATTTGTAAATAATTTTCTCGAATTTTCTGGCCCGGCATTGTATATATTTTTAGCTTTTGAGTAGAATTTTGGAAAGAAGGTATGTCTCTAATCTAACTGCACTTGTTGCAGTTGAACTCGATGTGTATAGTATATATATTCTTATATATTGGGTTGTATATAAACTTTGGAAAGTTGGATAAATGCTAATGTATTGGTTTTTACCATTTATCAGTTCGAATTTGTCCATAAACACCTGATTTTTATTATTTTCTATGCAAGTAAAGTACAAAAATCCCACAGTGAAACCTAGCCTCAAAACTCAAAAAAATAACAAAAATACTAAGGCCGGAGGAATTAAATTTTTCTACAGTAAATCAATTCTCATTTTCAACCACACATTCTTCAATAAAATAATATTTTCCATCACATCAATAATTTTTTCTTCTTTTTCAACCACACATTTCCCATCATATCACTATTCAAAATCAATTCTTATATTTTTCATCACATCCATAATTTTTTCTTCTTTTTCAACCACACATTTCCCATCATATCACTATTCAAAATCAATTCTTCCCCCAAAAATCTCTCACAAACAAGCTCTAAATGTACACACCTTGATTCACATTCACTTTCACATCCTTCTCACATAGGGGGTGGGGCCGCAATTATGTGAGAGGGATGTGAAAGTGAATGTGAACCGAGTGTGTAAGTGTAGCATTACTCAAAAAATAATAGGTGATCGGTTGTTTCTTCAACTGTGTATATGTGAGAGTGAGGCGAAAGTGGTCTAAAGTAGGTGAAAATTTTGTGAATTAATATTAGCCAACTTTAAGTACAAAAGTTAAAGTGTGGGGCATATACGTAAAAAAAAAAAAAACACACACAGCAATAACAAAAAGTTTAAAATGGATTGTGGGGGCTAAATCCAGCCTGTGGTGGTCAGCGATGGTGGTAGTCGGCGGGTGGTGATGTTTTGTGGACAATTTTGGTCGAACAAAAATAAAAGTAACATATGGTAAAATGACATTACCTCGTGTAGCATGTAAATGTTTTTTTGAAAAGCAAAAGTAACATACTGACATAAGCGTTGATCTTTTAATAAAGAGTAACAATAATATGTTATTTATGTAAACGTTAATTTTATTTTTTTAATGAAAAATAACATATAGTCGTAACACAACATTTTATCCGTGTCAAATATTAATTTTAAAATAATATAAAATGTTGATTTTTTAATTAAAAATGACTTAAATTTTTTTGATATGTAACTTCAGATATTATATAATTTTATCACGTCAAGCGAGAATCATTTTTGAGATGATTTTAATCCCACTACAATTTAATTATTTCAATAATGCATTTTTTTTCAAATTTCAGTATGCAATAAATACTACAAAATTCTTATCATTTGTGAATTTCGTGTTATTACTTCTCTTAATTAACATTCACATTAATCTAGAATTATTCTAGATGAATTTATTTTATTCGTATATCTATAAATTTTAATGGATGGTCAAATTCATGTATTAGCAATTAATTCTTATGTACCAAATATATTATAAAAATGTTGCTCATTTATAATATTTTATCATCACAAAAAAAAAAATTTTAAAAGTTGAATTTTGTGAGTATAATTTTATTCTGTTAAATATATATTCTAAATTTTATTTGCTTTACTTCGTTTGAGACTCGTAAAAATATTGAATTGAAATATTGATTTTTAATTTAAAACTACTATTTTCAATGGAAAAGGTATTTTTTTTTAAATTGTAAAAGGAAATATTTTTTAAAAAACTAGTATTGCAATACAGTTGTATACATATATACACACTACACTCAATAAATCGGAAAATCTCAAATTCCAATTGTTTCAGAACGACCGATTTATTGTAATTGGTACTGTTATACAGTATCGGAAAAGATCGAAAAGCAGATGGCTCCGAACAAGAAAGGCAAATCGAAAGGCAACTCGGCCGAGTCAATTCCGCTGCCGCCAGCCGCCGCCAAATACCCTGCGTGCATGCGGTTAATCCCACCTTCCTCCGTCGCCATCACTATCCACGCCAAGCCCGGTTCCAAAGTCGCCACCATCACGGGTCCTCCCTTCTTCTCATATGTTCATAAGATAACTGTTTTGTGATTAAAAGGAGGGTATTGATTTTCACTCATAATATTTGGGCATAACGTACAGATTTTGACGACGAGGCATTGGGAGTGCAAATTGATGCACCAGCCAAAGATGGTGAAGCTAATGCTGCCCTTATTGATTATATTAGCACCGTAAGTCCCCGATTATGAAAGTATTAAACATATTTATTTAGCTATCTCTGGATGATGAATTATACATTGCTTGTTTGCCATTTTATTTTATCTTTTTTTGTTTCAAGTCAAGTTAGTCTGATGGAATTATATGATAGATGGGCATGCATAGCAGTCTTCTTTTTAATGGCTTGTATGAATTTTCATGGCATTCTTAAAAGTTTGGCCCACGTCTTGAAGTAGTGAACTGCTTATAAGTTTTATTGAAGATGTTATTGATCTACTCTAAATTTGTATGGTGAATATCTTGGACTAACTTTAGGCATAAAAGGATGATTCTATTTGACTTAAGTTTGATTCTTCAAATGATCACTACACAAAATAATGAATATTTCATAGTGGATCTATCTTTGAGAAATTTGGTGTCAGAATTACCATTTTAATTTTCAACTCCATGAGGACAATTAAGGGAAACTTGGCATTTGAATGTATAAGTAAATGTGGATTCATTAAGTGAATTTATATCAAAGCGTAGCTATCAACTGTAACTTATAGGTCAAAATCAAACCATATCAAAGAGGCAGCAGCATCTAGGTTTACCAGGGTTCTAACAAACTTGTCAACAGGAAGAGAAAAATGAACTCCCCATTCATTTCCCGGCACCACAAATCTGGATGCATCTCATTGCGTCGATCGTATTCGTCATTAAGAGTAGATGAGTGAGGTAGATGATAAAGTATTCATTCAACTTGTTGCCTGTACTATATCAGTTTCTCCATCACTGTAATCTCCCCAACTTGCTTGACTAATCGTATCCCGTTTCACTTCCTTCAAGATTCTCTTTTCATTCAACTTGCTTGCCATTCTTTTTCCAGTAAATTGCTCACCAGATAAAATTCTTTCTCCCTCTCTGAGAATCAGGGGTTTCGGATTTCGGAGAAGGGGGGAGGTCGATTGGGGAAGATGAACAGTAGGTTTATTATTTAATTGTTTTATTATGAAAATTTCTGAATAGACCATTTTGCCCCTGATTTAATTTCAAAATAATGGCATTATGGAGGGAATCTGTGATTTGGACCTCGAATGCCATTATATATAAAGGTTTGGGACCTCGACCGCAAAAATGAAAGGTTAGGGTGTAATCTGCAGCAAAATGAAAGGTTTGGGACCTTCGCCGCAATTTTCCCTATATTAAATATCACGTCAAGCGAGAATCATTTTTGAGATGATTTTAATCCCACTACAATTTAATTATTTCAATAATGCATTTTTTTTCAAATTTCAGTATGCAATAAATACTACAATATCCTTATCATTTGTGAATTTCGTGTTATTAGTTCTCTTAATTAACATTCACATTAATCTAGAATTATTATAGATGAATTTATTTTATTCGTATATCTATAAATTTTAATGGATGTTCAAATTCATGTATTAGCAATTAATTCTTATGTACCAAATATATTATAAAAATGTTGCTCATTTATAATATTTTATCATCACAAAAAAAAAAAATTTAAAAGTTGAATTTTGTGAGTATAATTTTATTCTGTTAAATATATATTCTAAATTTTATTTGCTTTACTTCGTTTGAGACTCGTAAAAATATTGAATTGAAATATTGATTTTTAATTTAAAACTACTATTTTGAATGGAAAAGGTATTTTTTTTTTTTAAAATTGTAAAAGAAAATATTTTTTAAAAAACTAGTATTGCAATACAGTTGTATACATATATACACACTACACTCAATAAATCGGAAAATCTCAAATTCCAGTTGTTTCAGAACGACCGATTTATTGTAATTGGTACTGTTATACAGTATCGGAAAAGATCGAAAAGCAGATGGCTCCGAACAAGAAAGGCAAATCGAAAGGCAACTCGGCCGAGTCAATTCCGCTGCCGCCAGCCGCCGCCAAATACCCTGCGTGCATGCGGTTAATCCCACCTTCCTCCGTCGCCATCACTATCCACGCCAAGCCCGGTTCCAAAGTCGCCACCATCACGGGTCCTCCCTTCTTCTCATATGTTCATAAGATAACTGTTTTGTGATTAAAAGGAGGGTATTGATTTTCACTCATAATATTTGGGCATAACGTACAGATTTTGACGACGAGGCATTGGGAGTGCAAATTGATGCACCAGCCAAAGAAGGTGAAGCTAATGCTGCCCTTATTGATTATATTAGCACCGTAAGTCCCCGATTTTGGAAACTATTTAACATATCTGTTTAGCTATCTCTGAATGATGAATTATACATTGCTTGTTTACCATTATATTTTATCTTTTTGTTTCAAGTCAAGTTAGTCTGATGGAATTATATGATAGATGGGCATGCAGAGCAGTCTTCTTTTTAATAGCTTGTATGAATTTTCATGGCATTCTTAAAAGTTTGGCCCACGTCTTGAAGTAGTGAACTGCTTATAAGTTTTATTGAAGATGTTATTGATCTACTATAAATTTGTATGGTGAATATCTTCGACTAACTTTAGGCATAAAAGGATGATTCTATTTGACTTAAGTTTGATTCTTCAAATGATCACTACACAAAATAATGAATATTTCATAGTGGATCTATCTTTGAGAAATTTGGTGTCGGAATTACCATTTTAATTTTCAACTCCACGAGGACAATTAAGGGAAACTTGGCATTTGAATGTATAAGTAAATGTGGATTCATTAAGTGAATTTATATCAAAGCGTAGCTATCAATTGTAACTTCATTGAGTGGATTTATATCAAAAGTAGCCATCAAGCTTGACAAAGTTTCCATAAATGTTGTGATTTATGTTGTTAATAAAAGCTATCAAGCTTCATGAAGTTTCCATAAATGTTGTGATTTATGTTGTTGATAATTAGGAAATTTATTTTCAAACATGAGAGAAGTTCCTGTCCATCGAAAGATAATGAGTGTTGAACCCATCAAGTAGTAAACTTATATCGAGGCCAGCTCATAGTAAGTGTAGTATATTTTTAGAACAGATTTTTCAATTTATATCAAAAGCGTAGCTATCAACTGTAACTTCATTGAGTGGATTTATATCAAAAGTAGCCATCAAGCTTGACAAAGTTTCCATAAATGTTGTGATTTATGTTGTTAATAAAAGCTATCAAGCTTCATGAAGTTTCCATAAATGTTGTGATTTATGTTGTTGATAATTAGGAAATTTATTTTCAAACATGAGAGAAGTTCCTGTCCATCGAAAGATAATGAGTGTTGAACCCATCAAGTAGTAAACTTATATCGAGGCCAGCTCATAGTAAGTGTAGTATATTTTTAGAACAGATTTTTCAATTCTTGAACAATGAAAATTTTTATAGTTTGCCATGTAAACAGTAAAATGCTAGTTGAGCTCCTTGTTTCATTGCATATTTTCGAAGTTCTCTTGGTCATTAAGGTTTACTATTTTTTAGGGACTTGAAAGGGCCATTTGGATACTTATCAAGGTTTTCGGAGAACATTATTAATTGTGTCCACTGAATTTATGATAATAACATACCATTAAGTTTGGCTATTTAATTGTGTGGCGGATGTTTTTATAGAGTTTTGTTTTGCATGCTATTTTTCAGGAGATTGACCTGGTCTCTTCTTTTGTTGCAGAAACGTATTTTTTAGTAAAATTCAGCATTTATTGAAAGTTTCAAGTAATTAGTATTTTCGGTGAAACAAGTTGCTATCTTGTTTAATTATCTTGTCTTTGTCATGGTTTTTCTTCTTAGAAAGTAAGGCTTGATTCCTGAAGGCAAATTTTCAAAAGTTTACCTGTCATTTTAAACAGGTTATAGGGGTAAAAAGAAGGCAAGTCTCCATAGGTTCTGGATCAAAATCAAGGGATAAGGTTGTGATTGTGGAAGGCATAAATTTACAGAGTGTATTTGATGCACTAGATGGAGTTATAAAGAATCAGTGATGATATCAGGGATTTTTGTTTCTGCCTTTCTTTTAATTTACAATCGACCAAAATATACTTGAAAGTGTTGTTCTGCACTTTTTGGTTGTAGTTCCCCCTTTATCATCCCATGACCAAAACTCTCTTAGAAACTTTGTCTCTATCTACATAGAATCTGTACAAATATGATATCAATGATATTTGGCTTTGATTGGTTATCATAAGAAATTATAATGTCGTCCTGAATCTACTGAGAAAACATTTGGTATTTCCATGTTTGTCTGGGCCTGTTCAAATTTGTGATCTTCTACTTCATTGTTATTTTAGATGAGATCCTGTAGAATGAATCGAAGTGAATAATGGAGAACAAAAGCTCCCAAATCAAACTTCAGAAAACCAGAATGAAAATCCTAAAATCAAATGAAGCATTATTTATGTGACAGTTATATTTAACGTCCAAGAAAATAGAAGTCATGTCGAAGAAGTGTTATTTCAACATTCAACAATCCCCTATGTGATCTAGAGATATTCTAATTGATTCGAACATCTGGTTCATTTCAACTTAACCCCATGAATCAATCAGTATCCTGCATGCTTAATTTATTCTATCACTAAAGTTACATGCACAAAGGCAACAAAAAAGATAACACAGAGTGAAAAAGGTGAATAAACTAGCTAAACAGTACTTGGGAAAGAAGTAGGACTTGGAGGTACTGAGATGTCTACAGTCCCTTCGAGCATCAATAGAATTTTCTTCACCGATGGATGGAGAGATGGTTCATCTTAGATGCACCAAGTACAATCATTCTTTTCAATTTTCTTGTCAACCTCCTCATCTTCCATTTGTTTACTTAGCTCCCATGCCTCGAAAAAGTCATAAACCCATTATTCAAGAATTGCTTCATCCTCAGAGAGGCTCCGATCAACGCTTCTTCAGCCACATATGATCTCTAGTAGCACAATTCCAAAGCTGTAAACATCTGCTTAACTGTTGGAGGCAAATTCCTGTGCCACTCTTGAGCTACATATCCTCAGGTTCCTCTCATCCCATATTGGTGTTTGTCTGATCTTTCTCTAAGAGTTTTGCCAGTCCAAAGTCGGCAATTTTTGCACACCTATGCTCATCCATGAGTTTGTTTTGAGGTTTTATATCACAATAAATGATAAATAGAGCATGCCTCCTGCAATATCATTAGCAACTTGAATTCTTTCTTTCCAACGTGATCGGTTTTCAGGATTGAAAAGTATATCTGCAAGTGATTTATTGCTTATGTATTCATATACTAGAAGCGACTTAGATCCTTAACCAAGATGTGGACTAGATTACGATGATATGTTTTTCCTATCACCTTCATCTCAGTATGGAATTCTTTTTCTCCTCTGGCCATATCTTTCTTGAGCCTCTTCACGGCCATGACATTTCCATTTTTCATTAACATCCCTTTGTAAACCATGCTAGATGCTCCTTGACCGAGCTCTTCTTTGAAATCATATTTTGCTTGCACAGGTTCTCCATATGTAAATGCTAGCAAACCAACATCCTTAATCAGTTCAACATTTCCTTTTTTGGAGTTAGAGACCTTATTATATCTCCTTGCATGATTCCTGTGGACATAAACTCCGGAAATTGCCAGGACTAAGGTTGCAAAAGTAGCGAGTGAAATGTTGACAATCACGTTGTCTACACGAATCTCTTTCTTGATTTCTGTGCCAGAATTACCCGTAACTCCTTGAGTTGAGGGTGCAGTTGTACTTACCTTGATGAGAGTAATGCTGGAATTACTTCAATCTTCTTCCTTATCTCAAATGGAAGCCTTTGCTTTCTGCAGTTTCCATTTAGACAGAGTGATGCACGGCAGTTGAAGTTGTCTAGACAGGCTTTTCCATAATCTTCTTTAGCGATTCCTTCTAAAACATCATATTCAGCGTCTTCCCTCTCCGTGTTATCCAATGATCTGATTTCATAACTGGCATTATGATCCTTAGCTCTACACCCTTCCATAACAACATTCCTTGAACAACTTGAGCTCCAATTGCCCATTCTAGCGTAAGCAGACATTCACTACGACTTTATCCATCTGAATACAAAAACCATTCAACCCACATAAACCCTTTGGGGCACATGTATCTTCTGTGGGTGACTATTCTTTAGTCCAGTTATCTCTAAGATCCAACGAACAATAATATTAGTAGAAAAATACCATCTACATCGATTCTCATAAGCTGGATAGTTCTTGTTCGATATTTTCCTATTGTTAGATTCTTTACAATGGAGCTTCCATTGAAGAAATAAAGATTGCCATTGTTATCAAGATTCAATGATACATTATTGCCTGCTTCATTTGTGACTGATGCATAGGTGCCATAATCATATACATCTGGGGTATCCACAGGGTATAGCACCAGGTTTCCGTCAGTTTACATCTTTAGACGGAAAATTCCTCTGGAAGGGTTCGTTGCTGAAGCACTGGAGAAAATCTCTTCTTTATTTGCAAGGTGTTGGCCGGAAAAAGATTGTCCATCGGGTGATCAAAACTCTGCCACTTGATTCTCTTAACGAATCGTAAAGCATGAAATTACCATTCTTTAGCATTGTAGCTGAAGCAATAGACTTGCCGGGATCCACAAAATTTTCTTCTCCTCTACCTTCTTGCTGCGAAACGAGCCTTCCATCTTTGGTTAATATCAAAACAGCATTGCTGTGAAAAGTGGGATTGTCTCTATTTGCTGTCCATATGACAGTTTTTTCTGGGATCCCGGCAAGAAAAATTCCAACAGAATAGCCATTGATTTTCTTGGAGAATCCATATGCATAGAGTCCAGAAGTAGACAGCTATGATGAGTTTGTACTGGCTGTTAAAGAGGCGTAGGGATGTATGGGAATAACTTTTGCTGGGTTGATGTACCATTGATGCAGAAAGTATGAGAAAATATGGTAAAGCAGCATGGAGGGTAGTTTCTCCATTTTTCTTGGGTTTAGGCTTCTTTCGTTCATTGAGGAAGGTGTTATTTAAAGAACTAATTACTTTCCCAATCTTGCTACAGTGACGGGCTCGACAACAGATTCAACGACAGAGGGAATACGTATTAATACATGATTTGGCAATTTGATAAAAAAAATAAAAAAATACAGCATTCAATCCCGCCCTGCCACCCCATCCCTGTCAACTCCCCCTCTGTCATTTGCTCTGTTCGAGGAGCATTATTGTTACTTTCCGCAAAGACCATTGACTTGTTTCAATCGACGAATTAAAGCTTTGTATGTACGAAGTGCGAATAAAGACATGAATCTAGGGAAAAAAAAAAAACTAGTTTGTCTCTGTTAAGAGCTTTTGGTTCGTCCTAACATGCTTCACTTGTGGATATCAAACGTACCTTTAACCTCTCTACTCTTATAAAATAATTTTAATGTGAGCAGTTCCCCCTCTTTTAGAAAAAGAAGTCTAGGATCTAAACCATGTAATCTGAAATCATTCACTACCTTGAAAAATCCCGCCTCAAGTTGTCCAAACAGAACCTTACTTTTATTGAGTAAGACAAGGTCATCTCTTGACCATGTCAACTTAGTTAATCAAAAAATTAACTCCTGTCAAATCAAACTTCAAGTACATTCACAATCTTTAAAACTTATTTTTTAAAACTTATTTTTAAGTAGACATTCTCTCGGTGAAATAATTTCGTACGTAAACTCAAAATTTTATCAACTTTCTGACTACACATTCTCCCAAAAATTACATTTTCCAAAATTTATTCTCCAAAAAACCCCTCAAATATGGGCTTAATCAGTTAATCTGATGGAATAGTGTGGTTAAGAAAATCTACTCCTTTCTAATCAAGATTGGAGTCTAATCTTGCACCACAAAAGAGACTAATTAAAAATGATTAGTAGTAATTACAAAGTGATTTGGAACCACAAAAAATACATATCATGTGACGAAGAAAAATATCCGAAAGAACTGCCTTTTTTTTTTTATTTTAATTATTGAAGTCTCAAAGTCGATTCAGAGTAGATTGCAGAATTCAATCCTTCTTGAGAATTTATTAAAATTCTTTCAATTGGGGAAAAAAAATGGTGAAGTTACTTGAATTTTCAGGAGTTTTGCTATAGGTACATCATAATATATATAAGGGTGTACAACCCCCTCACATGGGGGTGGAACCCGCTTAAATAAAAAAATATTTTATACAGTGGGTCCCCCCCTCATGTGAGAGGGGTATAGCCCCTTATGTACATCTCTTGATGTACAAGTGGAATTGCTCTTTTCAGAAGTTCTTGTACCCTCTTTGAGCCCTATATTTTTGAATAGATCTTATAAAAACTAATTTTTTTAAAAAAATGTATAATTTTTTTATTGGGAGAATGTGTTGTTGAAAATGAATTCGAAAAAATGGATCCTAATTCCTAACAAACTTTCATCCTCAAAAATTACATGGTATGAACATGTTGGACCCTATTTGAGTCCTTTTTTTTTTTAATAGAACCCTGTTTGATCTACATTCTTTTAAAGTTTCAATACTCATTTTCAATTACACAATTTTCAATAAAATAATATTACACGTAAATTCGAAACTTTTCATTCTTTTTTTAACCACATATTTTTCATCGCATCACTATTTAAATATATTTTTTCCTTAAGAATGTGAACCAAATATGGGCTGATTTTTTGAAAAATGTATAATTATTTTATTGAAAAAACGTGTGGCTGAAAAAGAACTTGAAAAATAGATCTTAACAAACTTTTATACTAAAAAAATTACATGGTATGCATGTGGTGGTGGGGGTCTACGTTATCCGACTCAACTATCGATTTGCATCTACCAGAATGTATTTAAGTATCATAGTTTGATCGTCCTCCCTAATGATCTGTCTTCGTTAACCATTGCTCTCAAGCAAAATCAAAAACTCTGATTCCAATTGTTGAAAGTCAGAAACATTAATTCTATGCCACCTAGGGCAATTAAATCGAAGAAAGAAAATAGACACACAAGAACACGTAAGATTTATAAAAATTCTCATCAATGCGAGACTACAATATTCTCTTCCATCCCTACATTAATTCACTAGGATGAAAAAAAGTTTACAATAGAAAATTGCACATCTTCTCTAACAGGTCCATCTCTTATTGACGATAGTAATAAAAAACTCTAATGACAGCTTCCTATTTATAGATGCTAGACACGTAAAGAAATAATATTTAGGGTTCACAACTTAACAGAAGCAAAGTAATCATGGATTCGTTTAGCAAACTTTTATCTAAGTATAAATTTCAAGCGAAAATTCATAGTATCAAACTAGCAGGGTCCCTAATGATCTGTCTTCGTTAACTATTGCTCTCAATCAAAATCGAAAACTTTGATTCCAATTGTTGAAAATCAGAAACATTAATTCTATAGCACCTAGGGCAAATAAATCGAAGAAAGAAAATATACACACAAGAACACGTAAGATTTATAAAAATTCTCCTCAATGTGAGACTACAATATTCTCTTCCATCCCTACTTTAATTGCACAACTTATACTCTCTAACATGTCAATCTCTTATTGACGATAGTAGTACAAAACTCTAATAACATCTTCATGTTTATAGATGTCGATCCGCATGCTAGATACGTAAAGAAATAATATTTTGGGTCACAACTTAACAGAACTAAAGTATTCGTGGATTCGTTTAGCAAACTTTTATCTAAGTATAAATTTCAAGCGGACGAAGTTTCCAAAACAATTTTGTTTTATGTTGTTGACAATTGTAAATGATTCTGTTTATGCGAGCAGGGATGAAAAAGCTTGAGAGAAGTTCGTGACACTTGAAATATAAAAGCGTTGTAGCCATCTACAAGTAGAATTATAATGAGGCGTAAGCTCCCAGGACACATCTCCAAGTAGTAAAAGGGGAAGATGGAAAAACTTCAGCTTTGCTTGAGGCTGCCACATCAAGGTTGGAATCCTGAAATATGGATTTGGCCTTTGGGTAAGTGCAAGTGTACAAACAGCCTTCAACCCTGTACCCTTGAAGGCATAACTTGCGATTTACCTCCTTCACCAAGACTCAAGGCATGGCAGGTGAGGGCCGTCAAGGATGCGGCTCATCCTTTTTTATAATGAGGCTTAGCTCATAGGTATGTGTACTATATTTTACGAGTCCTTAGGAAACAGAGTGAATAACAATTAACTAAAGCTCCCAAATCAAAACAAAAAAAATAAAAAGAAAATCCTAAAATCAAACAAAGCATAAGTGAATTGACTGTTTTATTTAACATTCAAGAAAACTACCAATCGTTAGGAAACAGAGTGAATAACAGTTAACTAAAGCTCCCAAATCGAAACTTCAAAACCAGAAAAAAAAAAAAAAAATTTATCTAAGTATAAATTTCAAGCGCGACGAAGTTTCCAAAACAATTTTGATTTATGTTGTTGACGATTGTAAATGATTTGAGTAGGGATGAAAAAGCTTGAGAGAAGTTCGTGTCACTTGAAATATAAAAGCGTTGTAGCCATCTACTAGTAGAATTATGAGGCTTAGCCCATATGTATGTGTACTATATTTTACCAGTCCATAGGAAACAGAGTGAATAACAATTAACTAAAGCTCCCAAATCAAAACTTAAAAACCAGAAAGAAAATCCTAAAAGCAAACAAAGCATAAGTTAATTGACTGTTTTATTTAACATTCAAGAAAACCACTAGTCCTTAGGAAACAGAGTGAATAACAATTAACTAAAGCTCCCAAATCAAAACTTCAAAACCAGAAAGAAAATCCTAAAAGTATAAGTTAATTGACTGTTTTATTGAACATTCAAGAAAACTTGAGATGGGTACAGTCCCTTCCGGAATCAACAAAACTATATGGCACTTAGGAAAGAAGTAGGACTTGGAGGTACTGGGATGTCTACAGTCCCTTCCAGCATCAATAAAACTTTCTTCATCGATGGACGGAGAGATGGTTCGTCTTGGATGCACCATATACCAATTTTAATCATTCTGTCCAATTTTCTCTTGTCGACCTCCTCATCTCCCACCAGTTTACTTGTCTCCCCTTTTTGCAGACACGTGTAGACCCATTCTTCAAGAATAGCTTCATCCTCAGGGAGGCTCCAATCAACACTTTTCCTGCCACATATGATCTCTAGTAGAACAATTCCAAAGCTGTAAACATCTGCTTTAACTGTCACAGGCAATTTCCTGTACCACTCCGGGGCTACGTAACCTCGAGTTCCTCTTATCCCTGTATAGGTGTTTGTCTGATCTCGCTTTAAGAGCTTTGCCAGTCCGAAGTCGGAAATTTTTGCGCACCTATGCTCATCCATTAGTATATTTTGAGGTTTTATATCACAATGAATGATTTGCGTCTCACACTCCTCGTGCAAATAGAGGATGCCTCTTGCAATATCAAGAGCAATTCGAATTCTTTCTTCCCAACATAGTCGGTTTTCTGGATTAAGAAGTATATCTGCAAGCGTTCCATTTTTCATGTATTCATATACCAGAAGCCACTTAGATCCTTCAAGGCAGTAACCAAGAAGTCGTACTAGATTGCGATGATATGTCTTTCCTATCACCTTCATCTCAGTCTGGAATTCTTTTTCTCCTTCTTCCAATTCTTTCTCGAGCCTCTTCACAGCCACAACATTTCTGCTGTTTGATAAGATCCCTTTGTAAACTATGGCAGATGCTCCTCTACCAAGCTCTTCTTTGAATTCATTTGTTGCTTGCACGAGTTCTTCATAGGTAAATTCTCGCAAACCTACATCCTCAATCAGTTCAACATTTCCGTACTTGGAGATCTTCTTATATCTCCCAACACGGTTTTTGTGGACATAAATCCCAGCAAATGCCAAGATCAAGGCAGCCAAAGCAACAAGTGAAATGCTGATGATTAAGATGTCTAAACGAATCTCCTTCTTAATCTCTTTGCCCGAATTACCCAAAACTCCTTGAGTCGATGGTGGTGTTGGCTTGCTCACCTTGATAAGAGCAACGTCTGAACTAGTCTGTGATCTTCTTCCATATATTAATGGAAGTCTTTGCTTTCTGCAGACTCCACCTTGAATGAAGAGAGCCGCATCACAATTGCAGTCCTCTAAACAGGCTTTCACACAGTCATCTTTAGTCATTCCTTTTAAAACAGCATAATTATTGTCTTCCCACACCGTGTTATCCAATGGTCTGATTTCATAACCCTCATTTTGATCCTTGGCCTTACAACCTTCCATGGGAAAATTCCTCTCACACCCAGAGCTCCAATTGCCAGGATTAACGTGGTCAAATCCTGGAAGACATCCACACTCTGCATCTTCATCCATCATAATACAAAAACCATTCAACCCACATAAACCCTTTGGGGCGCATTTATCTTCTGTTGGTGACCATTGTTTAGTCCAGTTACCTTGAGGATCCAATGAACGATAATATAGTCGAAAAATACCATCCACGTCAATTTTCATGCGGTAGATAGTTCTTGTTCGATATAGTCCTGTCGTTAAATTGCTTATAACGGAGCTTCCATTGAACAAATAAAGATTGCCATCATTATCAAGATTCAATGATACATTATCGCCTCTTCCATTGGTGCCTGATGCATAGTAAGCATATTGCCATGTGTCTGGAGTTTCCACAGGGTATTGCACCAGGTTCCCATCAGTTTGCATCTTGAGACGGAAAATTCCTCTGGCAGGGTTCTCTTTCGAAGCACTGGAGAAGATCTCTTTTCCTGCGGAGAGACGTTGGTTAGGCAAAAGAGTGTCCGTCGGGTTATCAAAACTCTGCCACACGATCCTCTGAGATGAATCATACAGTACAAAATTGCCACTGTCAAGCATTGAAGCCGAAGCAACAGACGGGCCAGGATTCACAATATCTATGTCAGCTTTATCTTCCTGCTGCAAAATGAGCCTTCCATCATTTTTTAATTGCAAAACGGCAGTGCTGGGAAAAAAGGGATCATCCCTGTTTGCTGTCCACACTAGAGTCTTTTCTGGAATCCCAGCAAGAAAAATTCCGACAGCATAGCTATTGTTTAGCTCGTAGAATCCAAAGGCATAGAGCCCAGAACGTGACAACCATGGTGAATTTGTACTGGGTTTTAAAGATGAGCCAAGGGTAATATTGGAATTTCTTTGTTGCTGGGCTGATGATGCCATTAATGCAGAAAGAAGGAGAAAACAGGGAAAGGCAACCATGGAAAATAGGCTTCCCATTTTTCTTGGGATATGGCATCTGTGTTCCATTGAGGAAGGCAGTGAGTGCTATTTGAAGAAATCAGTACTCTGTCTAGGCTACCATTGACTCATTGGAGTCAATGCTTAAGCTCTGTTTGTTAGAAATAAGTGTACATACATTTAGCCGCTTTGAAATTTATTATTGATGGTTAAAAAAATTGATAAAAAGCGTGGATCCCAATTTTGTGAATGAAAATGAATTTGAAAAAAAATAAGTTTTAAAAAATGAATCAAAGAAAGAATTAAATAATAAGGTTTAGTTAATTGTTGTTATTCATGGAATAATTCTTCACCTTAGCCCCGATTTGATGAGGATTGAAATCAAAATTTAATAGATTTTACTAGAAGTTGATTAAATTTGTTGATGAAAAAATTCGAGTTGTATTAAATATATGATTAAAATTAATTATTGACTTCAACTTAAATTTAAATATGAATTTTTATCAATAGCAAANGACTTCAACTTAAATTTAAATATGAATTTTTATCAATAGCAAACAGAGGCTAAAAAGTAGTCGTGAAAATAAGCCCCTGTTTGAGCCACCTTATTTTCTCATTAAAATGAAAAATATGACCGTTATCCATCACATCAACATTTAAATTCAAATTTTCTATCTCTTGTGTGGGCCTCAATAACAACTATATTTTTCATTCTCATTCTACAAAAATGTGGCTCAAATAAGGAAATGTTGAGAAAAGTCTATATCTTTGACCATTCAATCGTATATGAAGCAATATTTTTGCAGTTAAGCTATGTTTGTTTGATATAAGTGTGCGTTTAATTGTCAATATTTTTTATGAAAAAATATGTTTTTTCATCTAATTTTCTACTTTTTTGTTGTTTGATTAACAATTTTTTCACAAAACTTATTTTCCATTTTTTGGTCATGTGATCATATTTTCCTTGAAAATAAGGAAAATATTTTCTATGAGAAGATGTGGTTTTTATTTTTTAGGTAATTTGCTCTCTCATTTTCTCTCTCATTTACCTACTAATAAAAAAATGGACAAGTATGATAGGCCTGTTTGGGCTCCACTTTTTGTGTATAATACATTTTGGAATAGAAGAGGACAATATTTTCTAGATTGAAAACTAAATTAATCAAACACATTTAATTAATAATTTTCATACAAATAAGTTCTACGCAATTAAATTGTTTGAAATTTATTTTGTTTCAATATAAGTTCCATGTTTATAATCAAACGTATCATAAGTGTACATACATGTACCACTTTGAAATTTATTATTGATGATTTATGGTTAAAATTTTGATAAAAGTGTGGGTCCAAAATTTGTGGATGAAAATGAATTTGAAAACAACGAGTTTTAAAAATGAAGCGAAAGTAGAATTAAATAATAAGGTTTAACTTCTTCTTATCGTCTCAGTCGTGGAATATTTCCTCACCTTGGCTCCAATTTGATGATGATTAAAATCAAATTTTTAATAGATTTTAATAAAAATTGATTAAATGTGTTGATGAAAAATTGCGAATTGTATAAAATGTGTGATTAAAATTAATTATTGACTTTAATTTAAATTTAAATTTTAATTTTTATCCCTATCAAACTGGGTCTCAAAAGTAGTTGTGCAAATAAATGTTAGGAAAGTGAGAGCTCTTTGACTATTCAATCGTATTGGCAGTTCTTGTACAAATTCAATACTATTTTGCAGGTCTCACACGGAACAAAATCGATTGACTTAGATATTCAAGATGTTCAAATAAAATCTTAGCCCGTGTTTGACGCTTATTCTCTAAAATTTTATTTTAAAAAATATTATTTTTAATCATAATTCGTTCGATAAAATAAATTTAAATTTAAAACTTTTACATATTTTTTAACCACATATTTTCAAACGTTTATCATTAAAAATTTGGTTTTAACTAAAAAATGGCCCTCGAACACACCCTTGTCGCCATGGGAGCTTTTCTTGACTAAGTCAACTTGAAGGTAATAAAATTC